CATTCCTGTAACTAGATGCACATGCACTGCAACCCCTGTACTCTCCTTTCTCCACATTTGGATACATAGATTTAAACAGATCCATCAAGGGGGAGAGGAGGGAGTAGAATGGGGGAATCGGCTCAGTCATTTACTCAGCGCCTTACTGAGCAGGTGTCCCAGGCGCTGAGGCAGAGGCAACAGGCGGGAAGGAGCAGAAGAGGTGATGAGGGAGTGTTAACAGGTGCCACCGGCACAGAGTTCAGAGCATGTACAAGAGGGCAGTGGGCAGTGGAGCTGGACAGAGGGCTTAGACTCACACTCTGCAGGGCCTTGAATGCCAGGCTGGGGAGTGTGTTCTTCACTCAGTAGGTGAGAGAAAAGCCATCTACTGCGAGGCTTCTTGAACAGATGACCTGGTGGTGGTGTGAGCCTAGAGGCAGGTTGGAAGTTTATCATAATAGTCTTGGCTGGTGGCAGAGGGCCAGGACGGGAATGGTGGTCGTGAGGTTTTCACTTCTATGCACAGATATTTATAGAGCACCTACTATGTGTGAGGCCTGGAATGTGAGAAGTGGAAGAGACGCTGAGGAGGGAGAATGGTGAGACTTAGGCACCGTCTGAAAAGAGTGGGATATGGCACACCTTTCAAGAGGGGGGACTGGGAGAGTGAACGGTGGGGTGTGGTACCAGGAGCAGCAGTTGGAAAGTTAGGAGGAGGAGCCAGCTGTGTGTGTTTGGAGTGAGGTTTCAGCTGTGTGTGTGTGTGTGTGTGTGTGTGTGTGTGTGTGTGTGTGTGTGTGTGTGTGTGTGTGTTTGTTCCCCTGCTTTGGCCCCAGCTGTTTCTTAGACTCCAGGTTCAAACACTGGCACAGAGCTGTGTCCTTAGCATCTTGACTTGGTGTCTCCATTGCATCTCAAGAATAACGCATTCACAACCCAATTCACCTCACTCCGCCCACACCTCTGCCAGTACACCCTCCACACCCCCGCCACACATACACGGACCAGGCACCAGTCTAAGCACTTTCACGTATATTATTTTAACTGTTAATCCTCATGGTAACATTATGAGGTGGTTACTGTTATTCTCCCCATTTTTACAGATGAGGCACCAGAGAGGTTAAGTAATCTGCCCAAGGTTACACAGCAAGTGAAGGCAGAGTCAGGATTCAAATACAGTCTGACTCCCAGACCCCTGGCTCCTCACCACTGCTCTTTACTGCTTCACAGTTTGTTGTTCAGGTTAATGTGGTGACACATGCGAAGGGTCTTCGCGTTGTGCTCGGAATGGAGCAAGCTGCTGCTGCTTCATGAGGACTCTTGATGATCTGGTGTTCCCATTTGGTCCTGACAGAACTGAGGGGGGCAGTCTTGCTGTGCGCACAACCAGTTCAAGTCTGTCTTTTCCACATTAAATGAACTTGTCTGTCCTTGTCCTCACTCTAGTTGCTGAGCTGAAGTCCCACATGAGGAAAGGGTCTGAAACCCTGGATGTGGGCTAAGTTGGGAATACCTCGTCTTATGCGTGTGATGGTGTAAATACATTTCAGTGTTTGTTCCACAGTCAGCAGTCACTGGAGAGGCAGCGTGTGTGTTAGCACGCTGCCCAGGGCCAGGAAACCCCCAAGCTGTGCATCTTTAGCACATTCACCTGTGAAACGAGGTGGCAGATGACATTCTAGCATATTTCTCTGTAATGTCCACATCACTGAGGACATTCTCCCATCAGCTGGCAGAGCTGCGCTGGTTCAACTTTTTTTTTTTTTTTTTTTG